AAAAATGTAACTTACATCACTTATCATATAAATAGTCATTCTCACATCCTTCTCTACCATATCTCATATTTTCATTGTTCTCTTTGTTTTTTTTTTTAAAAGTTCTTGCATGGGGTGAAAACTCATTTAAAATATCATTGTAAGAGTTTGATTAATTATTTAGTTTAAACTTTTGTTTTCAATTTTATTTATTTTTTGTTTTTATGTATTTCTTTATGTCTTCATTGTTTTTTATATTTTTAAATGTAATACATATGTATAATAATATTTTATGGTTATAAGAAAATCAAGCTAAAGAAATCAGTTTCATTATTTTACATTGGATGTTTGTTTCTTTCTCACATATTCATGTATATTTATTTTAATTTCAAAAGTATGTAATTTTTTAACAAAATAAATTTTTTGTTATATAATTATCAAACCAATTTGTAAGACATTCTTTTAAGAATAATGATTCTTATATATTTAGTTTGTCATTCAACATGTAATAATATAAACAACATTATAATTTTTGTTAACTTTGAATTTTATACTTGATTTCCTATATAAAAAACAATTTGATATTAAATTTTCTATCTATTATATATACTACAACGATGAAAAATATAATTAAACCTAGAGATATAACTTAAATTAAGAAGAATATAAAAACAAATTAAAAAAATATAATTATTTTTTGGGTATTTTTTAAGGTTTCACTCTCTCCTTATTCGTCCATTTAGCATTTATTTTTTAATTACAATATTTATTTTAAATTAAACCAAATATCTATCACATTTAATCATATACTTTAGTTCATACTTGAAATCCACACTTTACTACTAAAATGTAACTGAAAATTATATAAATTTTCAAAGACTATTGATTTTCTTTATTGAATTTCCATTAAACACACTATAAATGACTCCTATAATTTAATTATTTTAAAAATGTAACTTATATCATTTCTTATCCTATAAATAGTCATTCTTACATCTTCCTCCACCATATCTGATACCCTCAATATTTTATTTGTTTTATTTTTTAATGTTCTTTCATGAGATGAAAACTCAATTAAGATGTCATTGTAAGAGTTTGATTAATTTTTTTGTTTCAATTTTTGTTTTTTAGGTATTTCTTCATTTCTTCATTGTTTTAATATTTTTAAATGTAATACATATATATATAATAATATTTTATGGTTATAAGAAATTATTTTATGGATGAGATTCAAAAATATTAATTTCCGACTATCGCACCATAAGATAATCAAGCTAAAGAAATCATCTTCATTCTTTTACTTTGTATGTTTGTTTCTTTCTCACATACTCATGTATATTTAATTTATTTTCAAAAGTATGTAATTTTTTAACAAAATAAACTTTTTGTTATATAATTATCAAACCAATTTGTAAGACATTCTTTTAAGAATAATGATCCTTATATTTAGTTTGTGATTCAACATGTAATAATACAAAGAAAGTTATAATTTGTTTTAACTTTGAATTTTATACTTGATTTCCTATCTAAAAAAAAATTTGATATTCCATTTTCTATCTATTATATATACTACAAGGATAAAAAAATATAATTAAACCTAGAAATATAACTTAAATTAAGAGGAATATCAAAAGAGATTAAAAATAAAATTATTTCTTGGGAATTTTTAAGGTTTCACTCTCTCCTTATTGGTCAATTTAGCATGCTCTTTTTGGTTAAAACTTTTGTTT